ACTTCATGGAATAGGGGTCAGAAACAAATGTAGTCACGTTAGAATAAAATTCGAGCCATAGGTTGAGGAAAATATTTACCCACAGACGTCACAGAACCTTCAAGACCAACCTTTTTCAGCAGTTCAAGCAAGCCAAGTTGTTCAAAGTGCTCACTAACTATCGTTCTCTCAGGGCGAAATTTCATTTGAGAAAATATACCGAAAAAGCGAGTTTCAGACATAGGGGTATAATATTGGCGGGAGAAAGCGTTACCAATATCAAGTGGAGTATCTGAACCGTCACCTTCAACATCATCAACGGTTTTCTGTTCAGCAGCAGGGGAACTTTCTTTGGCAGTTGCATCCTTGTTGTCGGATTTTTTAGGTTCGCCATCATAATCATCAATTTCCTTTTCAGCAGAATCACCATCAGAATCAGGGGACGATTCTCCTCCAAATTTCGTGACAGAAGGAGTGGCAGTAGTAGGTTCAGGTACATAAACGACCTTCTTCGCCTTTTTGGGTTTAGCTCCAGAGGGTGCTGAGACCTTCTTGCGCTTCTTCGGAGATTTGATGGCGGAGGGAGAACCCTTTCCTTCTTTCTTGCTAGTATTGCCAACTTCAGGTTGGGAGCCCTTTGTTGTAGAGGATTTTTTAAGGCTCGGTGAAACCCTAGGCATGACTAGATCAGATGGTTGAAGATTTTTGGTTGCCATGGTTGGGGAAGTAGGATCTGGTGGAGTTTCTGCGCTTTTGCTTTGACGAGTTGAGCGTCGAGATGGTTGAGGAACATTCTTCTTAGGCTTCACGGTTCCCTGCTTGGATTTTGGCATGATAACAAGACGATTTCTCACAAGTATGAATGTTAGAAGGTTTTGGAGAAAGAAGATAATCCAATGATTTGAAGAGATAGACACAAAAGGTGGCAAGGAGACATAGGGAACCTAGATTGCGGTTATCGAGATATGTGATAATACGGTTCAACTCAAAATTTGAATTTCAAATAAATGTAAACCGCTCGACACTTAATGCACAAGAAACCGTTCCCTCCAAACAAATTACTTACCAAAATTAATTAACACAGCTACCATATATAACGAATGAAGTTTCAGATGAGAGTATCATCTAAATCATGTACCAAAAATAATTTTAAGCACAAGATTGAAATAATGTATATCACAAAAAAAATCTGGATGGACATGCCTAAATAAAATATTTAACATGCAATACCCTAGAATTTTCAATTCACGCAATATTGAAAAAAAAAATCTATTAATTGATGAATCAACAAATTTTTCCAAATCAATTTGAAACAAGCTCGACACTATCACAGATGGGAAGAGAAAAATAAATTCTCTTTGAACACAATTCAGCCCTTATTACTCCAACTTTTATAAACCACAGAATTAATATAAGTTCATTCATCACTTTCTCTTAGTAAAAAGCGAAATTTTCGTTCGCAATTCAGCCCCAATACTAATGATGAACTTACTCCGTTCTATTAACTTCCACACAAATTCACTTACTAACATTAACTATACGCCAATGTCAAGCCCACTACTTGAGGTGTGAATCATCTCGCAAAAAGCATTAATTTTGAAAATGCTGAGAAGATATCAAGATGACCAACCTTATTTAACCAAAGAACGTTCATTCTTAGAATGTTTACCTGTAGCTATCACACCTTGATTATTGTTAAGCACGTAACTCGTTTCACAGGTGATCAAAGAAACACCTCATGTGATAATTGCCCGATGCCTATTTTCACGAGAGCAGCTCTTACAAGTATATCAAAATGATCATCATGACGAGCTCCCACAAACTGATTAGTTAGAATTCACAGACCACCAATCTACAAATTCAACAATAATCGATCAGAGAAAATTCCAGGGATGAACCTACATACTAAAATGCCTAAAATGCAGAACAGATCCTACATGCAAAATACACGATATATATATATAAATGCGACTGACACAGATGCATATATATTATATAGAACACATTCCTAAAGATTTTCTTAGGGACAAAAATCATTTTGAATCAAGAGCTTTTGTAAAAATATCAGCAAGTTGATCAT